TGTAGCACCAGAGGCGACACGGGAGCTGCTGGGCTGCCTGCTGTGGGTGCTGAAGGGTGCAGACCCTGATGTCCTGCGGGGCTGGCTCACTGACCTGCCCCCTGCCCGCCTGGCTCGGCTGCTCGACCTGTTGCGGCTCTGCACTGCTGCCTTCTGCTACAAGGTGTGGGGGTTGGGGGGGAGGAGAGAAGGGGGGGCAAAGGAGGGGTGTAGGGGGGCCTGGGACAGAGCTGGATCGTGTGTTGGCATGTGCATGTATGTTCGTGTGTTGGCACATGCGTGTTGCCATTTTGCATGCATGTTGCACGTGTGCATGTGTTGATGTCTTCATGTTGTGCGTGTTAATACGCATGTATTATGTTGGCAGACACGCATGTTGACGTATGCTTGTCTGCATGTGTGCGCGGCGTGGTACATGCCTCTGTAAATACATGGGCATAAAGGTGTGTGTGTGTGTGTTGGCATGTGCAGGCATGTCTATACGTGTGTATGGGTTTGTGTTCACATGAGCATGCATGTCTCTGGGTAGGTAGGGTGCACAGGTTATGTCTACACGGGTTTACAGGTATATGTACGTGCATGTGTATCTGCATCTTTCTGTGTGCATATGTATAACCTAGGAGGGCTGCACGTAAGCGTGGGTAATTGTGTTCCTGTCTGCATGCACAGCTGTGTGTCTGCATGCATGTCGCTCTGTGTGAGTAAGGGGGGGCTGCAGGTGAGGGGGGCTGGAGGGGTACACATGTGTGTGCATGTGGGCAGTATATGCACGTGTTTCCTGTGTGTAGGGCCGTCCAGGTGGAGAGCGCGGGCACCGCTTGCCCCTAGCCCAGTCACTGGACATGCGGGCACGGCTGGAGGAGGCCATCCTGGGCACTGTGGGCGCCCGCCGGGACATGGTGCGCCGCAGCCTGCGGACTTCCCCCCCCCCCAGGCTGGGAACATGGCTGGGCTTCTGGTCTGGCCCCCCCACCCCATAACACTGTCCCTCCAGAGCGCAGCCCCTTGGGGCCACATGAGAACGTGCGATGGAGGAAGAGCCTGACACACTGGAGACCTAGCACCGAGAGGCCTGATAAGTACGTGGGGAGGGGTTGCTGGGTGTGCAGGGGACACTGGGGCGGGGGTATAAGGCTATGCCCATAAGGGATGATGGCCCCTGGGGGGCACAGAGCCAGGCTGGGGGGGTCCTGGGCTGAGGAGACTAGGCTTTGTGGTGGGGCAGGGTCTCATATCACCCTCCCCACCCCCAGGACCAAGGAGGAGGTGGAGCAGGAGGTGCTGGTCGAGGGGAACCTGGTGACTGAGGCCAACCTGGTGGTGCTGGACACGCTGGAGATTATCGCCCAGGTGCTGGGAACAGGCTCCTAAATCGGGAGAGAACGCAGGTGTTTGGGCTCCCAGATGCTCCTGCTGTAACCCTCAAGGACTCTACTTCCCTTCACCCAGAGGACCCAGGTGTCCGGGCTCCAAGCCCCCCTGCTCTGACCCCTCCCCCCCCTTTCCCTGTCCAGAGAATTTAGGTGTCTGGGCTCAAATCCCACAGGATCCCCTGCTGTAATCCCAGAGACCCCTCCCCAAGTGAGGACAGAACCCAGGTCTCCAGGCTCCCAACCTGCCCCGCTTGCTGTCACTCCCCAGCCCCTACTTGCCCTCAGAGAACCCAAGTGTCCAGGCTCCTAGTGCCCCCTGCTCAAAGCCCCATGCCTCAGAGCTGGGGAGAGAACCCAGGCATCTGGGATTCACCTGCTCTGACCCTGTGCCCACAGACGCTGCCACTGGCCGAGGCCCGGGACAGCCTGCTGGGGGCACTGCTGCGGGTGCTGCTGCACAGCATGGCCTGTGCACCCAGTGCCCTCTACCTGCAGCACAGCCTGGCCACCCAGCGTGCCCTGGTGTTGCATGCATGTTGCACGTGTGCATGTGTTGATGTCTTCATGTTGTGCGTGTTAATACGCATGTATTATGTTGGCAGACACGCATGTTGACGTATGCTTGTCTGCATGTGTGCGCGGCGTGGTACATGCCTCTGTAAATACATGGGCATAAAGGTGTGTGTGTGTGTGTTGGCATGTGCAGGCATGTCTATACGTGTGTATGGGTTTGTGTTCACATGAGCATGCATGTCTCTGGGTAGGTAGGGTGCACAGGTTATGTCTACACGGGTTTACAGGTATATGTACGTGCATGTGTATCTGCATCTTTCTGTGTGCATATGTATAACCTAGGAGGGCTGCACGTAAGCGTGGGTAATTGTGTTCCTGTCTGCATGCACAGCTGTGTGTCTGCATGCATGTCGCTCTGTGTGAGTAAGGGGGGGCTGCAGGTGAGGGGGGCTGGAGGGGTACACATGTGTGTGCATGTGGGCAGTATATGCACGTGTTTCCTGTGTGTAGGGCCGTCCAGGTGGAGAGCGCGGGCACCGCTTGCCCCTAGCCCAGTCACTGGACATGCGGGCACGGCTGGAGGAGGCCATCCTGGGCACTGTGGGCGCCCGCCGGGACATGGTGCGCCGCAGCCGTGGTGAGAGCCCCCACAACCTGCCTCAGCTTCAGCCCCCAGTCCCAACTTCCCCATATCAACTCCCCCTGCCCCCCCACCTATACCCACAGCCCTGGCATCAGGCCCCTGCCCCCCCAAACCTGCTTTAGCATCATCCCCAACTCCTCCCATCCTGCGGACTGCCCCACCCCCCAGGCTGGGAACATGGCTGGGCTTCTGGGCTGGCCCCCCCACCCCATAACACTGTCCCTCCAGAGCGCAGCCCCTTGGGGCCACATGAGAACGTGCGATGGAGGAAGAGCCTGACACACTGGAGACCTAGCACCGAGAGGCCTGATAAGTACGTGGGGAGGGGTTGCTGGGTGTGCAGGGGACACTGGGGCGGGGGTATAAGGCTATGCCCATAAGGGATGATGGCCCCTGGGGGGCACAGAGCCAGGCTGGGGGGGTCCTGGGCTGAGGAGACTAGGCTTTGTGGTGGGGCAGGGTCTCATATCACCCTCCCCACCCCCAGGACCAAGGAGGAGGTGGAGCAGGAGGTGCTGGTCGAGGGGAACCTGGTGACTGAGGCCAACCTGGTGGTGCTGGACACGCTGGAGATTATCGCCCAGGTGCTGGGAACAGGCTCCTAAATCGGGAGAGAACGCAGGTGTTTGGGCTCCCAGATGCTCCTGCTGTAACCCTCAAGGACTCTACTTCCCTTCACCCAGAGGACCCAGGTGTCCGGGCTCCAAGCCCCCCTGCTCTGACCCCTCCCCCCCCTTTCCCTGTCCAGAGAATTTAGGTGTCTGGGCTCAAATCCCACAGGATCCCCTGCTGTAATCCCAGAGACCCCTCCCCAAGTGAGGACAGAACCCAGGTCTCCAGGCTCCCAACCTGCCCCGCTTGCTGTCACTCCCCAGCCCCTACTTGCCCTCAGAGAACCCAAGTGTCCAGGCTCCTAGTGCCCCCTGCTCAAAGCCCCATGCCTCAGAGCTGGGGAGAGAACCCAGGCATCTGGGATTCACCTGCTCTGACCCTGTGCCCACAGACGCTGCCACTGGCCGAGGCCCGGGACAGCCTGCTGGGGGCACTGCTGCGGGTGCTGCTGCACAGCATGGCCTGTGCACCCAGTGCCCTCTACCTGCAGCACAGCCTGGCCACCCAGCGTGCCCTGGTGGCCAAGGTGAGACCTCCCCCCACCTGGCTGCAGGTTCAAGCCCTGTGCCTGGCATCTCATGGATCTTGGGTGGAGGGGGGGTCCCTGATGGGGGGGTGGGTGGGGTGGGCTGGGGCCTGTGGGGAGGCCAGGTCCACACCCAGAGTGTGGAGAGAACCCGGGTGTCCAGGCTGGCACCTGACGCTGCTCCCTTCCCAGAGCTGAGGAAAAAACCCAGGTGTCTGGGAGAGAACCCAGGCGTTAAGCCCCTGCCCTTCCCCTTCCCCTTTCTCTTCTGCCACTGACCTTTCTGAGCTAGAGAGAACCTGCATGGCCACCCCACTCCCAAGGCTGGGGAGAGAACCCAGGCATCCAGGATCTATCCCCATCCCCCCTGCTCTAATCATGCCACCCCCTACCCCTCCAGCTGGAGAGAACCCAGGTGTCTGAGCTCCCAGCTCCCCCTGCTGTAAGTCCCCAGCCCCACTTGCCTCCCAGAGTTGTGGGGAGAACCCAGGCATCCAGGGGCCACTCTCACGCCATCTCTCTGTTGTGGGCAGTTCCCAGAGCTGCTGTTTGAGGAGGATGCGGAGCTGGGAGCTGAGCTTTGCCTGCGGCTGCTGCGGCTGTGTGGGAGCCATGTGGCTACAATCCGGGCCCACGCCAGTGCCTCACTCTACCTGCTCATGCGTCAGGGCTACGAGACTGCCCATGTGAGTGCCTGGGACCCCCTGTGTTCAACCTGGTGACCCCTCAACTGAGGGAGTCCCCCCATGCCCTGGGGATCTATCCCCTACCCTGGAGACCCTCTAATGTCCTTCCTGTGGGGACCCCCTTCTGCTATGGGGACCCTCTGTGCCCTGGAGACCCCCTCCCCACACCCAGGGAGCCCACTTTGCTCTGGAGACCCTCACAGTGTCTTGGGGTTGACCATGTCCTGGGGACTCTGCCCTTCACTTTGGGAACCTCCATGATTCCCTTCTGCTGCCATGCATCTGCTTCTGGGGGGGAGCACAGCTGCTGAAAGGGGGCAGTCTGCCCTGTCCTGTGCAAATTAGCATGGTGGGGGGGACTCATATATGCAGAGGGGGAGGGCTGGGATGGGGCACAGGGGTAACATTCTCCTTCTTCCCTCCCCCCCCCCCAGAGCTTTGCACGAGTGAAGCTGCAGGTGACGCTGTCGCTGTCTACACTGGTGGGGACGTCGCGGAGTCTCAGTGAGGAGCATCTGCGACGCTCACTGCGCACACTGCTCACCTACGCTCATGATGACCCCGAGCTGCACCACAGCCCCTTCCCAGAGCAGGTAGCTGGGCAGGGGCATGGTGAGCCCTGCCCCTAGTGGGAGGACCCTGTGGAAGCCCTGCCCTGGGAATGGGAGAAGTGTCAGGTAGCCCCATGCCCAGGTGGGAGGTGGCTTGGGGAGCCCCACCCCCTTGTGGGAGGGGCCACAGGGAGCTCTGCCCTCTGGTGGGAGGGGTCTTGAGAAACTCCAACCTGTGGATGGGGGGAATCTCCAGAACCACTACCCCCTAGTGGGAGGAGCCTCTGGGAGCCGCATGCTAGGGTGAGTGGAGTCTCGGGGAGCTTGTGGGGGGTCCTGGTAGAAGGAGCCTCAGAGAGCCTTGTCCTGTGGCTGGGAGGACACAGGGAGAGCCCTATCTGCTGGTGGGAGGGGTCTCTGGGAGCCCAACCCTTAGGGGGAGGAGCCTCAGGGAGCCCTACCTTCTAGGGGGTGGAGCTTCTGGGACTCCCTCCCCCCCTCCCTGTGGTGGGAGGAACTTCTAGGAGCCCCACCCTTAGGGGAGGAGCCTTGGAGAACCCAAGGGAACCCTAAGGTGCCTTATAATGTGCAGTGCCTGGCACTGGGGTGGGATATTGGACCAGGCTGCAGTGGGCTCTGGGGGGAACCATAATGCACCTAATGATGTACAGTGGGTGAGGTCTGGGGGAAGCAGGCAGCTAGGCCCCCTGTGACACTTACCAGCTCCCCTTTTCCCCCAGGTACAGGACCTGGTATTCAACCTGCACATGATCCTGACTGACACGGTGAAGATGAAGGAGCATCAGGAGGACCCCGAGATGCTGATTGACCTCATGTACCGGTAAGGACCCAGGCATCCGGGTACCCACAGCCCCTACTTCTGTCCCAGAGTGCACAGAGAACCCAGGCATCTGGGCTGCCAGCTCCCCTACTCTAAGACCTCAGCCTCTACTCCCCTTCCTAAGCTGAGAGAGAACCCAGGTGTCCAGGCTCCCAGCTCCAACCCTCTACCTGCAACCTGCTTTCAGAGCTGGGGAGAGAACCCAGATATCTGGGCTCCCAGCCCCCCTGTTCCAACCTCCAGCCCCCACTCCCCTCCCCAAGCTGGGGTGGAACTCAGGGGTCCAGGCCCCCAGCCTACCTGAAAAGGAACCCGGGTGTCCTGACCCTGCCTTCCCGCCCCCTCCAGCATTGCCAAGGGCTACCAGAACTCACCGGACCTGCGGCTGACATGGCTGCAAAGCATGGCGCAGACACACGCGGCCCGGGGGGGCCACGCTGAGTCTGCCCAGTGCCTGGTGCATGGTGCTGCCCTGGTGGCAGAGTACCTGAGCCTGCTGGAGGACCGGCGCCACCTGCCTGTTGGCTGCGTCTCCTTCCAGGTGAGCCCCTGAGCTGGGCAGGGGCAGGCAGTTATTTCGGGCAGAGGGCCACTTACTGAGTTTTGGCAAGGCATCAAGGGCCACATAGGCAGCCAGGGGCAGATAAATATTAACTTTCTAAATTTTTAGGGGCCCCATGGGCCAGATAGAATGGCCTGGCGGGCCACATCCGGGCTAGGGAGAACCCAAGTGTCCTGGGATTGGGGAGAGGGTGGGACCCAGGTGTCCAGGGGCTGGGACTAGGGAGCTGGAGAGCAAGTGGGATCCAGGAACCTGAGGACCAGGGAAGATGGTGGGACCCAGGTGTCTCAGGGCTGGGGAGGGGACAGGTCCCAGTTGTCCAAGTGCTGGAGGAGAGGCTGGGACCCAGGTGACTTGGGACCAGAAAGGAAACAGGACTTGGGTAGGGGCAGGACCCAGGTGTCCAGGGCCCATGACTGAGGGTAGAACTCAGGCATCTGGGTGCTGGGAGCAGGGATGGAACCCAGGTGTCCTGGCTCGCGGCCCCTCTGCTGTCACCTGCTCCCCTCCCGGATCCGGGAGAGAACCACAGGTGTTTGGGCTCCCCGCTCCAGTCCTGAGTGCTGTGCCAGGGAGGGAACCCAGTTGTCTGGGCTGACCCCCCACCCCCTCCTGCCCCCAGAACATCTCATCAAACGTGCTGGAGGAATCGGCTGTGGCCGACGACGTGGTGACACCAGGCGAGGAGGGCGTCTGCTCAGGGCAGCTCTTTACGGAACAGGGGTTGGTGGGTCTGCTCCAGCAGGCAGCCGATGCCTTCACTGCGGTGAGCTAGGACCCAGGAGTCCGGGGGGGAGGCTGGTGGGAGACAAGACCCAGGACTCTGAGGAGCCTGGTTGGGAATGAGACCTAGGAGTCTGGGATGGAACCCAGGAGTCCCGGTCCCTGAATTGGGGACAGGACCAAGGTGTCCTGGCTTACTGCCCCCTACCCTAGCCAATGTGGGCGTGGGGGTGAGGAAGGGAGATAGCATGGCTGAGGCCTTGCAATGCATTCTGGGAGCTTCTTGCTTGTTGAGGTGGGGGTTTGGGTATGGAGCCAGCAATAAAGTGATGCCAGGAGGCAGAAGGGGCCTCGGGGAGTTCATGGCAGGGGGCGGGGGGCAGAGACAGGTAAAATGGGACCCCCAATCCCCCCGGCCCCTCTTCCCTGCAGGCCGGGCTGTATGAGGCAGTGAACGAGGTCTACAAACTGCTCATCCCCATCCACGAAGCAAACCGTGACCACACACGACTGGCGACACTGCATGGGCAGCTGCAGGATGCCTTCGCCCGCCTCGCCCAGCCGGTGAGCAGGGGTTGGATGCCTGGATTCACTCCTGGTGCTGGGGAGGGGAAGGAGGGGCTTGGAGGAGGGGGATGTGGGTGCCTGGACTCCTGGGTTCCCTGGGAGGAGAGCTGGGGCTGGGAGGGGGGCTGAGAGCCCAGATGACTGGGTTCTCTTGAAGTTCTGGGAAATTTGGAGGGGGCAGGAGCAAGAACCTGAACACCTGGGTTCCCTGTCCAGGTTTGGGGATGGAAGAGAGCATGGATTAGATGCCGAACACTTGGGTTCCATTTCCCATGTTGGGGAGGGGGCACGGGAATTGGAAGCTGGAGCTTGGTCTCCTGGGTTCCAGCCTTTGCTCTGCTGCTAATTTGTCCAGATCCCCTCTCTGCCTGTGCCTTAGTTTCCCCTAAGAGGGGAGGGGTGTGCGCAGGGGTGTGTGGGGCGCATGCCAGCGACCATTAATGGTTTCTCTCTCCCTCTCGGCACCCGGCAGAGTTCTGGCTGGGAGGTAGGCCCGTTATTTCATGTATGCACACATCTGTGCGTGCGTGTTTTTTGTTTTTTTTTCCCCCCCTGCACCCGCGTGGTCCTCTCGAGCATAACCCAGGGGTGGGCCAGGAACCTCCCTGTTTAATCCCCTTGGGGTACTAGGGACTAGGAGGGGGGTTGGGTGGGCATGGGGTGCCTCTTGGTCTCTGCCCCACCTTCCCAAAGCATGGGAGGGGCCAGGACA